TGCGGCTTTTCCTCTTTCCGGCTAATCAGAGCCCTAGCTTTGGGTCTGAGGGAGGTAGATCGGATCGGGATCGATTTGTGGAGGTTTTGAGTTCTGGTTCTACCCATGGAGGTGATGTGTCTAAGCAATCTGTTCCGAATAAGGTGGATTTTCTGTTTGGTTTGGACAAGGGCGGAATCGCGTCTCCTCCTCCACCTGTGGGGCTCAAATTGCACGATCCGCTGCCTGAGCCGGTCGCTCCGCCGATGGAATCTGCTGCTCGACCTGTTCCGGGAGATCGGATCGCTGTATCGGATCCTGTGGTTCATCCGGCCGAGATTCAGCGTCAATTGCAGGAATTACAGAGGTTGCATATTAGCGAACAGGAGCAAGCAGCGGCGTATCGGAGGAAACCTGAAGAGCATAATCTTATGGGAGGCTACGGCGGCGATTTCTACGCGCAGAAGATGGTGGAGAAGACTCCACCGCCGAGCGCGCAACCGACCTTGCAGCCACCGGCTGGATACTGGTCGGAGAAGCAGGTTTCCAGCGGAGGTTTCCCGGCGACGATGACGGCCACACCCGGTGGACAAGACCAACCGCCTGTCTACATGATCCACGCTCCCGGTGCGGTCTATCACTCGCCCCAACATCCGATGGTGAGACAAGTTACCGCTCCCCCGCCCAATCAAGGCTACTACGCTGTACAGCGTATGGCCTCAGATGTGTACCGTGAGCAACCGGTCTACAATGTTGTACAACCTCCACAACCATCTTATCCGCCCACTTCATCGCCGTCTCTGCCGCAACAACCTCCGAAGGTCGCCGCCTATCCCGGAGGCGGTATAACTCTTTCAGCAGATTCAGGGCCTTACACACAGGTGGCCTACGACAGCACCACCGGGAGACAAGTATACTACACAGCCGGTGGAGCCGCCATGGTAGCATCGCCTCCAACGCCGCCATACCAGGGGGTGTCGGCGCCGATGAGCGGCGATATTAGAACAGGACCAGTGGGACAGGATGGGAAGCTGATTGCAAAGATTTCACAAGGCTCAGTTTGAATAAGGACAACAGCATGTGGTATAAAAATTTTGAGCTTTTCTTTTTCATTTTTCTTTATAATATGAATCCCGACTCTTTAATTTACATGCTTATGCTATTATATGCTCGTTTGCTTCTCGATCTGTGATAAAAAAAAAAAAAAGAAAAAAAAAAAGGCATAATTATGTTTGTTTATGTTATCATGTGCTATGATCATCCATCTATCTGGGTCTGTATACAACATTAGAGGTTATAAAACCATTTTCTCTTTCACTTTTCTCTTTTTTCTTGTCTATTCTTCGGATAAAAATACTTGTGACTTTGCCATTTGTCTCAATTTTCATCCAATTTTAGCGAATTTTGGAAACGTTTATGAAATATATTTTTTGTGTTTGGTGTTTAGCCTTTTAACTTAAAAGTAGTTTTCGGATGAACTAAGTTCATCGGCACCATCTTGTGTTAATCCATGGAGAGACCTTCTCCATTTCAAATTAGCTTTTAACTTAGAATACCTCTTGAAGTTATAAGTTGTAGATTCAAATCTCTTTCTTTCTTCGATATTTTCTAAGTATTGAGATTCGAGTCTTGATTATACTGCTTGAGAAAGTTATTCTGGCTGAAAATATTGAGTTTATGTGAGTGCATGATAATAACAGAACTGATTCCATAGTTTTTTTTTGGGTGAAGTTGGGAAGATGCCATGTATGATGTAACCAAGGAAATTAGTTGGAAACCCAGATAGAGAATCCTCCCCAATTACCAAGCCTAGCCTGTCTGTTTGGATTTGGACGGTGTCTCTGTTTTGCAGCCAGCCTGACATCACCCACTCACCCAAACCTAATTCCAAGTGCGTACGACCAACTTGGTACATGCAAATTGGTCCGAACACTCCAGTAAATAGGTGATTGATTTAAGTCTCTTACATTTTTGGTGACTATGAAGTTACCGGATGAATTGCCAAGTAGATAGATTAGATCCAGACTCAACCCGCTTTTATCCATTTCGAGATACCATAGCATGTCAGGAGAAGCTATCACTCTTGGACGCCCTTGCAATTGTTCGGCAATAGATCGAGTTCAAGAGTCTAGGAGAGAAGCCTTTTTATTGAGTGAAAGAAGGGAAGAAAAAGATCTCCGATGCCTTCCGTTCAGTTTGCTTTATTCTTTCATGTTTTTTGTTTTGTTTCGTTCGTAGATCCCAAGCCCTCTCTTGCCTTCCACGTCTCTCCGTTCTTTAGCTGTTTCTACGGTTGTGTTCTTCTCTTTTGAGGTCTCTAATAGGATTTGAGTTTGCAGAAAGATTATTTTCGGTAGAAATCGAGTCTTGAACGCCTTTCAAGAAGGTATCTTTCCATGAAACCGTTGACACAAAATCTTGTTGTGGAAGCGACAGAGGTTGTGGTTTCATTGGATTAGTTTGCAAGTTTTCTTCCAAGTTGAAACGATTCTCTTGGGGTAAAATCCACTCATTTTCATAATGATTCCATACCCAACACCACATGTGAATAGAATCTTAGTTTTGTTTTCTTTTTTGATTTTTTCGACCTATTCATTATTTTCCCCCAACTATAAGTGCAGCTATTATCTTATTCTACCCCCAGCTTAAAAGCAGTCTACGAATTTCAACGCTTCAAGTTTAAGACTCGAAGTTCGAAATTCGGGATTTTATATTTTTTTTACCTATTATGTGACTTGGCCACATTATCGTACCACTTTCATTGAATACAACTTTTCACGTAATTCTATATGTATCGAATAAGGTCGAGTATGGAATTCTGTCTACTTACTTGAAATTGAATATCTGCCTCCCTTTCCTTCTATGATTAGATATGATTGAGTTTCCTTGGATCTTCGATCTAGTGTCAAAATCAATGTTTCGAATCATTGTTAGTGGACCTAGATTTTGAATTCTTTGTTGACATGATAAAGTCAAGAAAAATGTTTGGAATTATTCCAATATTGGACCTTGGACATATAATAGTTCTAAATCGAAACCTCGATGCTTCTTAAAGAAACGTTTAGGAGAACTGCCCAACATACGATTGCTTCCAACCAAGCATGCTTGTCTTTAACGTTTCGGTAATGGAGTTCACCGAAAAAAAATGCAACATATCGGTAAAAAAGAAGGTGCAACTTGTTGGTACGTATAGCACTACCCGTTTTCGATTCTTCTCCTTTGAATTCAAGGGCAAGTTTGTGTCACTTTCTTATCTTATATTATGAGATCATGGGTTGTTTCACATTTTCCTAGCACTACTTGGCACCAATACTATGGACGCCAAAATAAAAAAATAATATATATTTTATTTTTCTTTTTCTTTTTAAAATTTAAAATTTAAAATTTAAAATTAATTTATGAGACTACTCCACTTTGTACCCACTAGTCAATCATATCATGCAAGACGACAGGATCCATCCCGTAAGATAATGTTTTTTTTTTATTATTTATTTATTTATTATTTTTTTTTTTGTTGGGTGTGATATTTTATTTTTTTTTTTTTTGTTAAATTATCTATATTTTGAGTTTTGTCGTTATGCGGCGCATTTTCTTGTACAAATATGTAAGGATTCAAAAAAAAAAAAAAAAAAAAAAAAAAAAAAAAAAAAAAAAAAAAAAAAAAA